AAATGAGCACAAAATCAATAGTTAAGTGACCAAAAATGACATAAACCTTATATTTAATTATCAATGATAGCAATAGATATCAAATAAAGTATTTGTAGCAAAAGATTTAGGAATAGTATATTTTCTATTATTCTAAGTTTTACTACAAAAGTTTAAGCACTTTGTCATTTTTTGTTCCTTCTCAACTCTTTCAAAGTTTTGCTACAAAAATTTCAACACTTTGCCATTTTTGGTGTCTCATCAACTCTTTGTCACATTAGTTTATTGAGATGGCACTTTAATCTCCCAACTCCGATATTCTCTAGTGCTAGTAACAAAGGGTTCAAGAGTTTCTCATTTCTGGTCCCTTACATTTACCAAATGTGACACCTCAAGTTTTTGCCATATTATTTTGTGGAGTTGCCGCTTTTAATCCCTTCACCTTCGATATTCTACTATACGATCTTATTTTTATCAAATAACAACACATATATTTAATTATCAATGATAGCAATAAATATCAAATAAAATATCTGTAACACTATGTAAGAACATTGTTATTATAGGTAAAAATAAACATTTTAAAGTACGATAATTGAAAAAAAAAAATAAAAATATTGACCCAATGCGAAGCCCAAGTTTTTTTTATTAGTTGTTATCTAATAAAACCTATTTAATTTAAAACGCCTAATTTTAGATTTACGTTTTCAATATAACTTCTATATTTAACATGTAATTTATTCCATGTAGTTTTATGTATTATTATCTTAGTCCCTTTACATTATTGTTTTTGCAACTTGGACAATGTAGTTTTTTTAGACCAATTTAATTAACATTTGGTTTTCCTCTACGCTAATTTACAATTATTTTAGTTTTAACCAGGAGTATGTTTATAACAACTATAATGGGGTTGATTTTAAAAAATATAGCACTATAATTACGTTATGTGATTTTGTATTACTTTATGTGATTTTGTAAGATTATATTCTTTTCATTTGAACCAATATATTTCATTTTTATTTTAAAAAATTCTTCTAAACATAAATATTAATTCAAAACATTAGTATGATTCATCACTAACATGTTTTGGGTAAAAACAATGTAAATTTAAAATAGCTAACTATTTATAATTAATAATAAATTAATCGATAGTTATTGGTGCCTCGATAGGATAAGTTAGGAAAAATGCAATAAAATCCTTATATATTGGTCTCATAATCGATTTTGTCAATATATATATTTTTTATTCAATTAAGTTTCAAAAACCGGTAATCGTATTCAATTTAACTCTTTACCGGGTCAACAGGTCATCCATCTTTCAAAAATTATATTTTTGGCCCAGATTTTAAATTTTATTAGAAATTTGGTCCAAAATTTACAATTTTAACCCCGGTTGTAATTTTTTTTTTACAAATTTGATCTAATATATACTTTTTTGGCCCATATTTTAAAATTTTGTTATGAATTTATCTAAACTTTAGTTTTGTTTACAGCTTTTTTCTAAAAAAAAAAACCAAATGTTTTTTCTTTATAATATCATATTTATACAAAAAAAACATATTTTCACAAGTTAGGATTTTCTTTTAATCTCAATTCCATCCTACATCAACAATCATCTCCACCTTTATTCCAAAAGATAACCACCCCCAACATAAAACATCGCGCCTACAACATCTGCTACATCGGACCGCTACACCATGATCTATCGTTGTTTCTCTATTATCAACAACGGTTAAAGTTAGGGTTTTCTTTTATTTTATCTTCTGAATGTATTTACTCGATTTTGTATTTCAATATTGGTAATGGATTTTGTATTCCAAGCCACGATTTAGTTTTTGTGAGATTTATGATTGTTTGTTTGTTCAAATCGTCGGAATGAAACAAATCGTGTAGGTATCGTCGGAATGAACAATAGCCTAAATGAAACAGATTTAAAGGAAACAATTTGAAGAACGCCGAATGACACTAACTTTTGTTCGGAAACTAATCGTCGGAATGAAACAAATTGTCGTCACTGCAACGCGGGGTCACGCTACTTGTGTGTGTGTGTATTATACACCTATATTATAATAAATACATTTGTATTCAAACACATTTATATATAAAATAGGTGTTTGTAAAATACATGTATGTATACATTTTTTTTTTATAAAAACGGATTTGTATATATTTATGTACTTAATAAATACCTAATTTTATAAACAGATATTTCGTGTGTGTGTGTGTGTGTATATATATATATATATATATATATATATATATATATATATATATATATATATATATGGGCCAAAAATGTAATTTTTGAAAGTTTGATGACTTGTTGGCCCGATAAAATGTTAAATTGAATACGATTACCGGTTTTTGGGACTTAATTGAATAAAAAAATATATAGGGGCTAAATCGAATATGAGGCAAATACGTAGGGATTTTATTGCAATTTTCCCGATAAATCATGTGGTTTGTTCATATACTTTTTTTAAATGTCATATATAGCTACACTAAAACCAAAAAAAAGTTATATAATCAATTTCTTAAACAAAAAAAACAAAAAAAAAAAAAAAAAAAAAAAAAAATTACGTGATCTACACAAGCGCCTTGTTTCGTAGTGCTAGATTTCGCAAGTTATTTGAAGTTGATGCTAGCTTGTTGGAAGGAGAGTTTTCGTTAGGCGAAATAAAAAATTAAAAAAAAAAATTAAAAAAAAAATTTTAAAAAAAAAAAAAAGAACAGTTTGGCTGTGTGGTGGTGATAAGTCCCCGATGTCAGATGGATTCACTTTTAAATTCTTCAAAAAATACTAAGATTTACTTAAAAATAATATTGTAGTATGGGTGAAATACTTTGAAGCTGGAAACAAACTTACCAATGGATGCAATTCACCATTCATCTCTCTAGTTGCCAAAACCAGAGATCAAATTCACTTTAGTGACTTTAGACCTATAAACTTGATCGGATCACTTTACAAAATCATTGCAAAACTTTTAGCCCTTAGATTAAAAAATGTCATTGGAAGTGTTATCGATGAGGTTCAATATGCATATATGGAAGGAAGGAATATTCTTGAGGTCCTTTGGTGGTTAATGAACTCTACTCTTGGGCAAAGAAGAAAAGAAGAAAGTTGATACTCTTCAAGGTTGATTTTAACAAAGCATTTAATTCCGTGAATTGGGTTTTTCTGGACTCAGTTATGAAACAAATGTGCTTCGGTAACAAATGGCGAAACTGGATTCGCAACTGTTTGGAGTCAGGAAGAGCATCAGTACTAATCAATGGAAGCCCAATGAGAGATTTTTCCATGACTAAAGGGGTGAGACAAAGCGATCCTCTATCCCCACTCCTCTTTAACATTGCGATGGAAGGGCTACATTTGGCAATGGAAACGGCGGTAGACAAAGGGGTCTTTGATGGGATTAATTTCGCAAACTCTAACTTTTGTTTGTCACATCTATTTTATGTAGATGATGCATTATTCATTGGAGAATGATCAAGACATAATATCGCAAATCTAGCAATATAATAATTATAAAAGTATCAATCGTTGTTTTTATGGATTATAATCTATTTTAACAAATGAAAAAAAAAATAATAATAATAATCAGGAGCTTTTTAAATTAACACATATAAATCCATTTGATTTTGGACGGCTGATATTTTTTGGAACACTTTTACGGTCTATGAAAACATTGAAATGGACACAATTAGACGACGACAAAAAAAAAAAAAAAAAACAGGTTTTGGAATTTGATTAGTATGTTTTTTAGTTTAGAAACAATTTTTTTTTTTTTTATTTTCTTAATCTTTTAATATGCAAAATTTTAAATTTGGAGAAGCATTTATTTTAAATTTTACCTTTATTTCTCAATCTTTTAATATGGAAAAGTGTGTTCTTTTCTTTATTAATATTTACCTTTCAACGGATGAAACAATAAGTATATAAAACTTTAAGTTATAAAATAAAAAACGAGAAAACAAAAATTATAAATAAGTTACTAGAACAGTCTTTCATACAATTTGCCATTAGATGATAAAAAATCACACTTACAAAGATACATCAAAATGATACATTTGTTTTTCATTTTGTCGTTAACTTGCAAAATAGTCACAAAGCCAATAGCACCGTTTACCCATGCCGGACCGTGTTACTTAGGTCAACGAGTACTTGAAGCACATCATAATAAAATGAGTAAATTACACAAATAGTCCCTATGGTTTACAGTAATTTACATGCTTAGTCTCTAACTTATTTTTTTAACTCGAAAGATCCCTACTTTTTGTTTTTGTTACGCGCTTGGTCCCTGACTTACCTAAAAAGACTATTTTGCCCTTGATTTTTTGAATTATTTTAATAAACGCATCCCCAATCTTACACCCTTCACCTTACCTTATCTACCCCACCATTTTTACCTATTTAAATAAAAGTTTTTTTTAGCTAAGATAGGGACAAAACGTGTAACAAAAACAAACAGTTGGGACCAAGTGCGTAACAAAAACAAACAGTAAAGACCTTTCGAGTTGAAAAAAATAAGTTAAGGACCAAAAGTGCAAATTACCCCAAACCATAGGGACCATTTGTGTAATTTACTCTAATAAAATTCGATGGAAAATGTGATTTTAATCAAGACAAAATATACGAAAGAGGAAAAATGTTTGGGAAATGGAAAATAGGCAACTTTGTCTTCACTGTTAAAAATGTAACGTAAGACATTACGTTTCTTCTTCTTGAATTTATCTTCACGTCTCTTTGATTCTCCTCCTTTTGATTTGTTGGACAAAGACATACGGGTTTTTTTTTCTTGATTTGACCATTAATTTTTTGCATATCAAACTGATGTTTGTTTTTTTTATTTTTTATGAATTTATTGTAGATGCTTTTGTATAAGTGAGAGAGTTTCCTATATGGAATATTAACAAAGAGGGCTAGAGAATTAACCATTCTTCGATTGAGGAGCTTGATTTGTTTAGCAAGGATCGAAAATTAAAGGATCTTGATGGAATCCCCCTAAGGGAGCCGAAAAGTCATGGCTATCGGAGAGTGGGCAGAAGTCCGGCAAAGAAGAAGAAAACAGCAGGAAGATCATAACTTATCCAAGAACATGGCAATATCATTCTTTTTCCAGAACTTTCCTGAAGATTGGGACGAGAAGGCTCTGTGGCAAACATTCCAAAGGTACGGAACAATAGTGGATCTCTACCTAGCCAGGAAGAGGAATGTCAAGAACAAGAGGTTTGGTTTCGTTAGATTCATTAGAATAGAGAATATCTCAGATTTTGAAGGAAAACTAAATGGAATCTGGATAGGAAACTACAAGCTAAGAGTCAATTTAGCTAGATTCCAACGTAAAAGCACAGCCAACCCCCGCTCTACTATGCCCCCCATCGGCCACGGCCAAAATAAGCAACCCTATGGCTACCCCCATCTTCACTCGTTCCAACCCAATAATCAAGATGCACAGAAATGTACCAAGAGCTATGTAGAGGTGGTTACAGGAGATATACTGCCGAAAGAAACTACAAATCCAACCCCAATCAGGATGTCATCCTTTGAGGAAACGAGAGAATTCATGAAACGGGCACTAGTTGGCGAAGTGGAAAATTTTCCAAGCTCTAATGAATGTGAGAGATTTTCCGGAGGTTGAAGAATGCCCGAATGTAGTAATGAGATATTTGGGAGGATTAAAAATGCTCGTGGAATTCGAAAGTGAAGCTGCAAAGTCCAAGTTCTTAGTGGACGGAAGGCAGATCTGGAAACCTTGGTTCAAGACGATGTATAACTGGAATCCAAAAGAAAATTTTAACGTAAGAATAGCTTCCATAATGATTTTCGGAGTCCCTCAACATGCATGGTGTGAGGAAGCTTTCTTGGTCATTGCAAGAAAATGGGGCACTGTAATAATACCGGAGGAATGTGCAACTGATAATCCAAATATGGCGTTTGGTCGGGTAGGGATCCTAACATCGCATCCAAATTTAATCAACCAGTCAATAACCATCTCGGTGGATGAATCTCCTTTCTCCATAACAGTTTTGGAAGACCTCCTTGAGTCTACAAGGCTAAGTCCGGCGGTTGCTAGCAATGAGTTCGCCCTCAGTCCTAACTCAAGCCCTAAGTGGTTCGAGAACTAGTATTGGGAGGACCTCCATGAGTCGAGCGTCGAAGACATCGCAGAAGAAGGTGAAATCAATAGCTCTGATGACGAAGACATCGTCTGCTCCCCAGTTCAGGATACTAACAGCAGGACCCTTTCAAATTCGTCGACGTTACACCCTCGGGAAGATAAAGAAAAATCTCCGATGAACAACAACTGCTCTCACAACTCCCAAGGCTCTCCGCGTAATCCAAGAAG